TGGGTGAACGGTTGAACCCGTTCGAGGGGTTGGCGGAGAAACGTAGCTGGTGGTGGTGGTAGTGGTAGCAGCGGTGGTGGTGGTTGAAGAAGGGAATGACCCCGTGTACCGGGGTCAACCGTTGCACTATGCTCTCTCCGGCTAGTCCCGTCTCTTTCGCTCTCTTTCGGCTGCCGCTGGCTGTCCCGTAGCCATGGACGCCGAACACTCATGCGCTTTGTTATCAGTGTATACCGACTGCACACCGTTCGTGGAACGTTACAAGCCCGCTTACACGTACACGCCGGTTATATACGTATGTACGCGCGCGCGGCCAGCCTGGGCGACCTCGCCGCGCCACACGTGCGTCTACGTGACCGAACGAACGGGGAAGACTCCGGCGCGCACGGGTTTCGCGATATTTATGAGCAGATATGGGACAAAGATAAAAGAACCCGTCGCGAATCATTTCTCGTTACTTAACCGGTAAATACGTCATCGCCGTACGTTTAGCCCGGCTTTTTTCGATCCCCGCGAGAAAGATCCGGCCCGTGGTAGGCGTGTTTCCTTCTAGGCATACCATCGGTCGCCATTGATTTTTCTCGGGAAAGAGCGTGACCGGGCTCTGCGAGAATTTCATCGAACCCGTTTCGGATCCTCGCCCGCTCGCCGGCGCGTCACGCTTGCGTCTGACGTCGAATCGATCGCGCGAAGATTCCGCTTCGTTGATCGATTTTTGATTGGACTTCTGGGTTTCTTGTTTTTGTTTTGCTATTTGGTTTGTCGTGATTTTATCCGGATAGTTGCATCGGTGATTTTTGAGGTTGATATTTTAGTGGGGTATTGATTTAGTTAGATTTATTCGATTTAATTAGATTGAAATTTGAGTTTACAGTTGGGGAACGATTTTGAAGTATAACAGAGTCGATGGGATTAATGGTAGAATATTGACTGTAATGCAGTGTACAATTATTTGTAGTTTATCGTTAAATAATGAAATAAAAATTGAATAAACGAGTATTTAATTATTCAGACTTTAATTATTTTATAGGACAATATTCTTTTGTAAATATTTACGAAGTTACAGGTTAAACAATAAAAGTGTTTGAAATGGGTTACTGAAATTGTACGTTTATCAGTGAATGCTAATCTGAAAAATCAATCGTCCGTTAATGTTCAAATATCGCCCACAATGTGTGCACGGACATGTTTGCTCATAGACAGGATCAATGCACGCTGAAGCTCGTGGAGTGTATTTGAAAAGACACATTAGGGGGACGATAGTGGTCAATGGTCGAGCCTGACTAGCCCAGAAATATCTTTTCAAAGTAACTCTTCTGTTGGGTTTATACTAGTCGGTTAAATCGTTCAATACGCCGGCCATGTGAGCCGCACACAAAAGTCAGGCTCGGGGGAAAATCCCTCCTATTTCAGTATAAAGTTAATGCATGTGCAAATAGAGAATTTTGCCCCGCTATTATTAAACAGAAAAAATGGCGAATAAAATAAAGGATAATATTCATGAGGGAGGAAAGAGCTTCAAATATTGAGTCCTGATGCTTCCCTCTTTTTTAAATAATATTCTCGCTTTAAATTAAAATTCACTAGGGATTTATTTAACAATTAACGTATACTGACACTATGAGATTGTATTAAATAACTTTAATAACTTCCTAAGTGATTACTTTACATTTTATCTTCAACTTTAAAATTAATAAATGTTAATTAACTATTATTTAATGGGCACAGCAGACACACCAAAATGAAATGACAAATTGAAAATAACATTGAATGTGAAGATTATTTAAGTCAGATTGTACAGAAATTTTAAAAAGTATCTGTATTAATAAAGATCTCTCGTTTTTACAAGGCTTATTAATATTTGAATATCCTTTGCCACTTTTATCTTTTCAAAGTTATATTTCGATCCAACATATTAATTATTCGAAAACTGTAGAACATGAAAACCTAATGAATCCTTAAAGGGCCAAGATCATCAGTCGATAAAAGATTCGGGAATTAATTATCTTTATCTCTTAACTCGTAGGCGATAGAATGCAGAAATACACGTTCTGACGTTTACTAATAGAAATAGAAGCAGGCTAACCGAATTGTGCTGCTCGATACCAATGAAATTATCACGCCCATTTTTTACGCCAACTCGCTCTTTGGAACGGCTTTCCGATGGAAAGGACAACCCCTATCTGCCTTGCGCGTCCGCCCATTGTCCAAAGGATAATTTCAAACTTTGGTCGTTGCAGTAATTGCATGCGTGAGAAACTTCGTGTGTAATTTAAAGTTCAAAAATGATCTGCGTGGTCCGCATCGTTGCACAGACACAATTGTACGAGGGGAAAAAAGACGAAGTAGAAATTATCGAATCGTTAGAAAGTTTCTAGTAAACTTGAGAACCGCGTTCCATTCAATCGTTGAAAATGAAAATCATTTTTTTCGACGAGAAAATGCTGCATATCATATTTTTTCCATATCGTGAAAAATAATATCGATATTCGAACGTATCGCTTAATCGGCTGGAGGAATTCATTTTCTAGGTTGAAGTTATTCGTGGATCTTAAGGGAAGAGAAACATAAGAGAAGTTTTTTCGTCAGGAAAGTTTTGGGCGATTGTAAACTCCAAATAAAAATAAGTGAAATTATAATTTTACAATAAAATGAATTTCAAAGACGTAAATATGTTATTTCATGAATGGTGTTTATTTTTATATGTTTCTTCTTAGGTGTCCAGAATGCGTCATGTGCTCTAATTGTAACTACGAAAAGCGGAACGCCAGATTGCGAAATGCGTGTCAAGAATCGGTGCAAGTGCAACCCGTAAAAGGGACAGGAAAAGTGTCGAAAAAATGTCGGCAAGGTAGCTGGTTCTAATAAATAAGAGTGAAAACTTATCGCGAAACTAAATATAATTATTGAAATCCACGAAAATTGACAAGATTTACAGTAGTTGAATGCTAGAAAATTAAAGTAATGAGAAATTTAAAAACGAATTGGACGGCGCCATTAATATTAATTAATTTTGGCGTTTCACCGCTATATTTTTCATTTAAAAAATTCCATTTTGTTGTAAAAACTCTCTAAATACCAATTTCAACGGTTTCTGCGTTTCCGCAGCTCCAACGATGATTATACGTTCAACCTTTGAATAGCTTACTCCGAAAAACAGGGGAAAGTTTGAAATCTGACGGGAATATCGTAAAATATTCGGCGCGTCTCACGGCAGCCATCCTTGCACGGCATTCTAACCCTACTTCATCGTTGGTTCTATAACTGTATTTCACCGTCTTCCGGAATATTGCTGATAAAAGAAACACAAAAATATCTTCTAACAGGAACATGAATCTTTTAGTTACACAATTTGGCTTTAACATATTTTCCTTGAATAGTGTAGTATCTGATAAACTGATTCCTTAAAAAATTTACTAAAATACTACTGATATAAAAAGATATGAAAGTGATTTTTCGTGAAATGATCAATTGAAAGTGCAAAATTAAATTTTGTATAGATTTCTGTTTGGAGAAAGTAGAATGTAAGAGATCATCGTGTCTGATCAATGCGTACCAATTCTACTTATAGTAAAGACGAAGAAGAATAAAACTCCATGAAAATGATATTTATTTAAATGATATTATGTTTAGTTTAATGATACATAAAAAATAGTAATGTAATCTAGAATAAAAATTAAACATCGCGATTTATAGATAACAAGGGTCACATTATTTTATTAACAATCTGTTACGATATTGATTTGCTATATCTACTGTTCCATTCCCACCTGTGTGTACGAATAAAAATAAAAATTATGTTAATTTGTAAAAAAACTTAATTTTCACTAATTTGTAATGACACCTGTAAGACATATTGAGTATACACCAAAATATTAACACAATAAAATTTAGCATAAAATACTGTATTAAATTACCCAACTCACACAACTTAATTCATCATGTACAACAAAATATTGTTCTTTTATTAATAATGACTCGGCAAACATAAATACAGAATACACCTAGAATTCTTCTCTTCGTTTCAACCAATTATTAACGATAAATTAGTCAGATCAATCATAATAAAGAAAAAAAATCAAAGAGCAAGGTATGAAAGCCAACTGAGAGTTCAACCTTTATGTTAGCAAGCGAAACGTTCGCGTCCGTCCAAACTTTAATGTTCCAATATTCTACGTAAATATTTTATTTCCAAAGTACAAATCGACAATAAAAAAATTGTGATCCAAACCAATTTCGTCGAGTTTCCGGCGTAACAAATTCCACAGAAGAAAATGAAAAACTCGGTACCCGGATATCCGGTTGCTAACGCAAGGAATAGTTTTCAGGAGACTCCAGTAAAAATCAGCCACTCGTTTCGTCGTCTCGAGCCGGCGCGTCGTTCAGATGCACATGTATCGCTGCGCCGGATCGAAACGCGACGAAACAAAGGAGGGAACGGTAAAATCCGCGGATACTCACCCGTGACGCTGAGCAGCGACATGATCGAAGATGTTTCAGGCAAATCGGCTTAACGTGGAGAGAGAGAGAGAGAGAGAGAGAGAGAGAGAGAGAGAGACAGAGACAGAGACAGAGTTCTCGTTTAATTGGCCGGAGGCAGCTCTCGACGGCGGCGTTGGGGGATCCGCAGGAAAAACGATGCGGCCGTATAACGAGACACGTCGGATCGAAGGAGCACACTCGCGTGTTTGGCCGTGCAAGCCTCCTTCTTTTTTTCCCCTCCCCGATATTTACTCTATTTCCCTCTCGTACTGTGCGCCTGCAGGTGCCAGGTAACGTGCGGTCGCGCGCGTACTCGCGTTCGTTTATACGTGCATATGTTTATCTATATGTGTGTTCACCGAGCCGTATGCGTATGTATGTATGTATGTATTTATGTATGTATTTATGTATGTATTTATGTATGTATGTATGCATACGACGCGTACGTACATGTAACGTATATGTAAATATTACAGAGCACAAGAGAAAGAGAGAAGAAAGTGTTTAGAGATAGCGCGTTTTAGAGAGACAGATAGCGAGAGGGTACGCGCGTGTGTTCCTGTTCGTGTCTGTATGTCTGTGTATGTGTGTGTTTGCAGACAGATAAACGGAGATAGAGAAAGATACAATACGAATATGCGCGTGTGTACCGCGATATCGCGACACACAGTTCAACTAATTTCTCAGGAGCACGAAGTCGAAACGATATCCCACTATGTTCTCGTCTGTCCTCTGCACCTCCGTTTCTCCTCCTCGTTTATCCCAAGTCCTTTTCGTTTCTTCTCGTTCACAGTGTGTCCCTTCTCGCGAGTTTTTTTCGTCCTCTTATTACACGTACTTGATTTCGACTGTTCCGGCACGCGCGAATACCGCGAACAAAACTCGGAGGCGAGCCGAGTCCTCTTTCAACCCGGCACTCTTGTCCCTGACGATGTCGTGTACCCCGCGCAGGCTATAGCCTCTGGCCGGCGCCGTGGGTCTATCTATCACGCTGCCGGCGTGAAATTCGCGCGTGCTCTGCACACGAAACGTCAGAACCGGCCAGGCTACACGCGAACGACGCCTACGACAACGACGATCCTTAGCCCCGCGGACTCTCCGATAATATACCACTCGCGCCTCCTCCTCCTCCTTTCTCCTCGTCCTCCTCCTCTTCCTCCTCCTCCTTCTCTTCTAGCTCTGTACATACACTGGTACTTCCACGATGCACAAAAGATCACGCGCGTTGTGTACCCTCGTTCCGTAATTTCCGTAACACCGTGAACCGGTGCGTGAAGGATGGGAGTTGGGAAACGAAGGGGTTGCGGGGATTGAGGGAGCGAGGGAGGGCGGGAATGTATCTCCGGCGAAAGCTCGCCGGCGGTTTTCTGATCGGTACACCGATAAACTTCGCTTCGTATACGCGCCTGTACTTGTGTTTGTGTGTGTGTATATATATTAGATATATATATAACCGTTATTCACTGAGTTACACACGAGAGAACGCGTACCGTTCCAATCGCAACCGTGACATGTAAAACGGCTTAGAAGTCCGCCGCGGATCGGCGACACCGCGATTATTATCGACTTCGGCGTAACAGCGAACGGGCTGTTGGTCACGCGCAAAATCGTGCGGCTAGCACGTTTCGCCGGCTGAGTCGGTTACTGTCCACGCTCACGGTCACCGCTGCAACCGCCGCTTGAATCGCGAGGCTCGCCCCGTTCCCCGTTTCCTGTTCCGCGTCGGAGGCGTCCTGTTGCTCTTCCGTTGTGCACGACGACGTGGGTGTCGACGATGGCGGTGCTACCGCTATTGCTGGTGCCGGCGATGATAATAACGACGGTGCTACGGTCGTCGCCGCGCGTCGCTCACCAACGATCCTCGGTTGAACCAGCGTCGTGAGATCCTCGTGGCCGTGTTGCGGGCGATCTGCTTTGCTCGGCAGCGTGTCGATTGTCTCGGCACTAGGATAAGAGCGACGGTAGTGGTCGGGGTTGCGGTAATAATCGTAGCAGCAACGTCGTCGGTAGTACGGGAACGGCAACGGCAGCGCCAGCGAGACGCTTTTGCTGCTTATCCTCGTCGGCAGGTCGGTGGCCACGGTGTTGACGGCGGTGTCGGTGTTGTCGTTGTCGTACACTCGGCCAGGACGAGGCAGCATCGCCGTGACAACGACGCGTGGTGTGGCTATTGGTTCCGCTTCCTGTTCGGACCGGTCTTCTTGTGCCGCGTAGGTTCGGCCGAGCGCCTCTCGCTTCAGGAGATGCGCCCACCGTGCCGCCTTTCTCGTTATTATCATAGTAGCAGGGGCTGCAGTGCATGCGCCAGTTCGCACGTAACCCGTGCTCGTCAAGGAACCGTACACCAACAACACCCGCCTCGTCTTCGTCGTCGCCGCGAGCCACGACCGGTCACGGGCATTTCACCGCGAACTCGGTGACGTTTTGGGGGGACTGTCGCGGGATCGACAACGGTGAAAGGAGAGGGTGGGAGAGAAAGAGAGCTATCGGCGAAAGAACGTGTCCGGGACGCGCTGGGCCGAGGAAAATGGGGGAAAAAAAAGAAATAAGGGACGCACGAGGTTCGTCTGTGTGTATTCTAGCGTGTATGTCCGACTGTCTGTGTACGTGTGTCTCTGTATCCCTGTGTGCCTGTGTTACTTATATTATGCGGCGGGGGTGCAACTCGCGGGGAGTCGGAAGTCGTGGTTGTAGAGGAGGTGTCGAACCAGAGAGGGCGAGAAACGGAGAGAAAAAGAGAGAGAGAAACGGAGGGAAAAAGGAAGTAGGAACGGCAAGGGACGCAGGGGCGGCTAGGGACACGCACCACGAAGAAGAATTATGATCGACGGGTTCGTGTGTCGCGAAACGATCGGGATTTTCACACTGCCTCGGACGCCGTGGCTCTATCGTGCCAGCACTGATCCCGACGTTCTGTGCACGTTGTGCCTTTTTCCCCCTGACCGATCTCGATCGTCGATTATTCTCTGACACGGTCGTGCACGAGAGGTGAGGGCTGCACCGTGGCCGCGGACGTGTGCGGTGCTCCGGATGCACTACCACATTAATGCGGTGAAACGTTGTTGCGAACGTACGCGGACTGCTCGACGTCGAGCACTGTGCGGACGGAGACGCCTCCGACTCGCCGCCGCCATCTTGCTACGTCAAGCGGGTAGCATAGCGCCGGCGCCGTGTCTAGCCGGAGGAGGCCTTTTCTGAGCGACCTCTGCCGGCCGCGACCACGATCATTTCGGCAAGTGGCCGCCGCGGATTCAGACACCCCCTCGCGGATCTAACCCGCGGAACTCCCGTGCCAATCGCCACGATTGTTCCCTTCATTACTAATTCGATGTTACCGCCGACGATTACACGCTTGATTGATACAGGTCTTTCCTGTTTCTCTCTGTTTAGAACCTTTCCGACTGTACCTCTTCTTTTCAACCCCTTTGATACTACCGACTAGTTTTAGCTGGTTTGCTTTATCTTCTTTCACTGTTTTTTTTCTTATCCTTATTCTTTGTCTTGTTTCTCTTTTCTAAAATCGGTGTTGCTTCCCGCTATGTAACACGTAGTCGCGTATACACGCCGTTAATTATCGTTGACAAGCATCGTGCCAGATAACGTTTAAACGCAATCTCTCGCGCATCTCCGACCAGGAATCTGTATCTTTAATGGGTTCGTTCGTTCGGTTTCCGACCGAGCGGTCCGCTTATTCTGCCGTTCGAACGCAACGGGCGTTTCTACCAGTTCCGCCGCTATCTCCACGCGCCGGCTCCCACCTCGGGAAAAGGTGTTCAAGCGGTTTCCTGTCGAGTTTCAATTAATTTCCCAGCGTTATGAAATCGATTCAAGACGCATCGGGTACACCCCCGAGAACGACTTGCTGTTCCCCGGTTTCCCAATGCCGTGGATCCCATCGAATTCGACCACATTTACGCTTCGACTAACTCCGTCAGTCGCGTGCGATTGACATAATTCCGTGGACGCAGTTGAGAATTCATTTTTACGATTATGCATCCGATGAACCGCACTTCATTGTGATTAAAGGAACGAAGGAAGTAATCGATTTTACGGGCCTTAAATTTTCAGTTCGTGTTCCATCAAATTGCTTGCCCCAATTTGTGGAATTTTTATGGGTTTTCATAAACAACGTATCGAGGACACATGCATTTGCTGACTGATTCGAGAATTTGTGGTATAAAAGTTAATAGAAGCATTTATTTCATCTTTCATTGATTCTGGAGTCTGAAAACGCTTTAAGTGGATTGCTTGTTTCTATATTTTTGTTTTATATTTTTAAATGTTTGCTTTCGAAATTGTTCACAATGGAACGTAATCAAATTTTCGATATTGGAACGCACTATTAACACCTAATTAATAATATATTAAACTTCGAACAATGTTTTAGGCCCGAAATAGTTTGGACGCGCACAGTTTAGGAAGGAAATTGGTTCATTCGGATAACTGCACGTAAAGTGTTCTGGTTCGCGTGATAAGCGACCGTAATATAAAATTGGACGAGCCGGGGGACACGCAATGTCTGGAATTTTCAGTTCTTGGGGAATCGCGTCCGAAATGGAACTATATATCATTCGGTGGACTAATGATATTCTCAACGTTATCATGACAGAGTCAATTGTAAAAACTCTGCGCTAGCGTAAAACTCCTTTACACTGCAACGATAAAAGAAAGGAAATTTGTTGAAAGAAAATCCTTCAGTACATAAATTATAAACTTAAATAGAAACCCAAATTAAACAGAAACCTCGTTCAAATATATTTCCTCTTTCATTATTCACACACTCGAATAATTGCCCATCTCCTTGGAAGCTTACACCTTTGACAACTCTTCTAATTATCTAATCCTCGTTAGGATTCAACTCCCGACACTCTAAACATTAACATTATACTAAAAAAAAGGAATCCAATTATCAAAACTCCAATAATGTGTAGATCTCGCAATCTCTGCCTCCGTTAGCGAAGGGTCGAGCACCGGAATTAGCCGACATCCGCAAACAGACCCGAGGAAATCTCCTGGCATTGGTAACGGGTTCATTACTCCCGACAAAGTGTACGCATCAAATGCTGACTTGTACTACTGCGAAATCGTTTCCCTTGTTCCGCGATAATCTCGCGCGCCGTCTCGTATCCCCGATACAGTGGAACGTGCCTACGTACCCAGTGACACATCTGACCTGGTAGCCGACGGATCACCTGGCGTTGCGCATCGCGCAGGCAGCCGCGGAACTAGCCGAGACATCGCGTTCCCATATTCGAACGCAGATAGACGCGAAAGAGCGAAAGAATGCCGCGCGTATCACCACGGTGGCAACAGGTTATGAATAGAAAATAGATATTTACGTTGCAGACATACAATATTTGATACATGTCTCTTACATAACTGCGTCCGTTGGACGTCCGGATTCTTTAAAAAGGAACAACGTCAACGCGTCTCAGGGATGCAAGAACGGCAAGCATTATAAATAGACCGGCACACTGTCGTGTTATCAATAAGAGATACACTTTAATCGGAGATACTTTCGTTTAATTGGAGTCGCGTTCTCTAACCGGCGATGGAAAAGAGAAGGAAGAAACACAGTTCTTATATTTCTCCGTGTCTATAGATAACGATCGGCCGACCTGGCTATGGTTGTTACATGAACTTTCCATGTATGTATAAATATATAGCTGGGTATACGGGATGTAACGGGCTCATCGGTCCTCGTGCCCCGAACCGAGAAAAATATTTCTGAAAAGTAGTCGGTATACGGTCGAAGAAAAGCGGAACTTTTGTGGCTTGCTTTCAATGCGTCGTGTCGGCGGTCGCCTTACTCGTCTCAGGCATCACACGAAAACCATTTTACCCGGATTCTCTCTCAACTCCTGCTCGACATCTGATCATTCGCCCACGTCTGTCGTTCTAAGTGCAAGAATGACGTAATACACAGACGCTCCTCTTGCGGCCAGGCAGCCGCTTATTGTAAAGAGACATACTAACTTGCCTTGAAAGCACGATAAGTTTCATCGTCCTTCTTTGTTTTGGAAATAGTGTATAAATATTTTATCCAACCGTACATCTGTGATATTGAAAGTGTAAACACTTTCTTGTTGGTACGTGTTCTGCCCCTATGTCTCTGAAAATGGTGAAATTGTCTTGCAGCAACGACATTCATAGAATATTCGTTATTATTCGTTATTTGTTACAATTAAATGCGGATTTTATGGATTTCTAGTATATACAAGTGATTTATTTTGAAAGTTCAACCTATTTTGCTGAAAATATTTCCGTCAGCCAGTGTATTCGCGCGATTACGATTTACGTTTTCTAAATCATTTCGCGTCATTTCAGTATTGTCGCTATAAAACCACACCGTTCAGAGATAAGCACAAACTTGGTGCAGCTAAGTTGAACTCTGATCACCTTCTTAATTAAATTTTCACATCCGCTTTACCATGAAAGTTTCTTTCATCACAGTAGATGTGAGAAGTTTGCGTGCATACCTCTTTCATTAAAGAGAAATTATAATTATAATTCTCTTACGTCACAATTAAGTCTTCATGAAATTGTATTGAACTGTCTTTCGTCGGAAATGAGCTGTCGCAGAGCAATTCATATTTGAATGCAGAAAGAGTTTTCGATTAAAACAAAGACGTTTTTTAGAACCAAACAAACTTCTTCAAACAAAACGCAACAATTTTTGACAAACAAATCCCCACGTGAAACATTACGCGTATACATTTCCCAACTATCATAATTTTTCGAAAATCATAAAACAGCAATCTCAACAGTCTGAATGGTTTTAAATAATTTAATTCTTACTCAGATAGTCTCAAATGAACTATCAATAACAGACCAACACAGTAATTTCAAACGAATTTTCAGTGCAAACAAACACATTTAACTGTTTCGAACAAGTTCTTAGTCGAGAATAAACCCGTTCAACAGCCTCAAATAACTTCTCAATCTCAAACAAACTCGTTCAATAATATGAAACAAATATCCTTTTGTTCAAACTTTAAATAATAACTCCGCAGAGTTGAAACTCGAGTCGCGGCTAAAAGTACTTACGTACATCTTATTTTTAACTGTTCCAGAAACCTACAAAATTAGATCCAAATCGATGTCGGATACTTCACGCCAATTCCTTATTTTCTAATAACGAACGTTCTGTTTCTGTCTATTTATATCCCGTACAACCCCCTGCGTCGGATGACGCGCTTCTCACATTACGAACGTCATATGTCAGCGCGAGAGACAGTTTCCATTTAGAGAAAGAATCAACAATTACCTAAAAGATCACACTCCAGAACGAAGAATCTGGAGTAACCGTTAAGAAAATTTCATCACATTCCTCACACTGAATATACATTGAGTAGTAACTCGTTTAAGGATAATAAAACCTCTTCATTTTCAATGAAAAATAGTTAAGTATATAAAAAATATATATATATATAAATTATACATGATAAAAAATATATAAATGTTATTATTCATACTATGCACTAAAGAAAAATACCACTTAAAACTATTCCAAGATAAATTACAAAAATAACGCTTCTATATAAACAAAAATTTTAAGAATATTTTAGGTAATTTTTGAGACTTTCAAATGAAGTTTACTAAATTATAAGCAGAATATGATTTCGTGTTACAAAATTTGGATGGATGTTTGTTCAACGATAGTAGTAAAAGTAAAAAAGTAGTATAATACTACAAAAACAAAATTATTTTTCCGTCAAATGTCAGCGTTTGACGATTTCAATCCACTACGCGATGTACAGATACGAAGAAAATTCATAATGGAGCCGGCTCGCGACATTATAATGAATTATGGGCACGAAGTTATACAAAGAAACTGATTAATATTCGAAGCAGGTTCCAAGTGGTCTACCGCAAGACTGAAACTCGCGATAGAAACTGCAGTTCGTTCATTTTCTTTGTCCAACTTGACGAAACTTCGCCAACGAAGTTTCCCCCACTGATTTCCCTGGGTTCCGTTGTGATACGTTGCCTTTTCCTTGAATTGAGTATCCCTGTTCGTTGTAGCTTTATTTCGTAATTTGATTGCCTGCCGGTCCCACACAATATAGCTTTTGGGGATACAGCGTGAGATAAGAGTGTTCCGCGCAACGACAATGCCAGGAT